CATGTGTGGGTCCTTAGTGGGGGTGCGGGAGGGGCGTGCAGGGTTGGGCAAATCGGGGAGGTGTGGCCCTCCCAACCCCCCCTCCCCTCACCCCTGACCCCGCAAGATCGTGTCAGATTCGCCTGGATCCGCCCACCCCCTGACCTTCAACCACCCTCCCCCAGCCACCTGCTCCCCACCGCATTTCCTTCTCCCACCCCTCCCACCCCCCCCCCCCCCACTGCGCCGTGAACTCAAGCAGTATTGAAGTCAGGTACATTGACATGTCCACGGCATGCGCATGCTCACGGTCACGCCCACCATGCCGATTGCAAGCCGTGCACAGGTTGAACCTCGATGGCATGTTTGGGTACTGCTAGGGCTATTGCTGATGCAGGCCTGGATGCCCGTAATTAGTGTTCAGCGTGTGCGACCGGCATAGGTAGAACCCCTCGTGTTTAGCAGAAGCAGTTTAGCAGCACGTCGCAGGCTGCCGGCTTCCCGAACGCCTTGGTAGTCTATGCAGCAGGTCGGAGGTCAAGAGCTGTGCCGCAGGGTCTATGGGCGACAGCAGCTCCTGGTACATCCTGGTACACTTCTAGAGAACTGCCCATCTTGCGGTCAACTTATGCTGTCAGACTGGCCAGAACTTCTTGGATGACAGCCCCACAGGTGAACGCACTTGGGCATGACTTCTTGATCTTGTTGGGTTCTTATACAGCAAGGAATTTAGGAGTCAGGCCGAAAATGTAGAAGCTCGGGGTTCTGGCAACCTAGCAACCCAGGAACCCCAAACCCTCCAACAACCCACAAAGGACTCCCGAATCACTTCATGTCAACTCCTGCCCCCCCCCCCCCCCCCATGATGGCCTCAGGAACCCCTGTGGCTTGTGAAGCGCTGTGCAGGGTTTGGTGCTGATGTTTGGCTGAAGTGACAGGCGTGCGCTTGAGGTGGCATCATGTCGATCTCAGTCCATGTGCACCTCCTGAGTGGCAAGAGCGTGACTTTGGCAACGGAGCCAGAAGAGTCTGTCACCTGCTTGTGCCAAAGAGCTTGGGGCGCTCTAAGAGTTGGCAAGGGAAGGCTGCTGACAACCTCTGGGGATACGCTGGACGGAGGTACCGTCAAGCGAGCACGTTTACAAGACAATGACGTGCTGATCCTGCATGTCGGACAAGTTCGCCTTTCGACTGGAACCCATTGGCAACGACCAGGTGCCCCTGCTGCCTTTGCTGCACTCCTGGGTGATGGCTTTGTGGTGGCCTGGGGCGAAGCTTTCCATGGTGGCGACAGCAGTGCCGTGCAAAAGCAGCTCAAGAACGTGCAGCAGGTGCAAGCTTCTGCAGGTGCTTTTGCGGCGATCCGGACTGATGCATCTGCCGTGACCTGGGGCCATCCAGACTTTGGTGGCGACAGCAGTGCCGTGCAAGGGCAGCTCAAGAACGTGCAGCAGGTGCAGGCTTCTAGAGAGGCATTTGCCGCGATCCGGGCCGATGGATCTGTGGTGACCTGGGGCTGTCCTCGCCGTGGCGGTGACAGCAGTGCTGTGCAAGAGCAACTCAAGCGTGTGCAGCAGGTGAAAGCTTCTGCAGGTGCTTTTGCTGCTATCCGGGCTGATGGATCTGTGGTGACCTGGGGCAATGCCGGCTGTGGCGGCGACAGCAGTGCCGTGCAAGAGCAGCTCAAGAACGTGCAGCATGTGCAAGCTTCTGGAGGTGCTTTTGCTGCCATCCGGGCTGATGGGTCTGTGGTAACCTGGGGTGATTCCCATGGTGGTGGGGACAGCCGTGCCGTTCAAGATCAGCTGAGGAATGTGCAGCAGGTGCAAGCTTCTATGTACGCTTTTGCTGCGATCCGGGCTGACGGATCTGTTGTGGCCTGGGGCTGGGAACACGGTGGCGGCGACAGCAGTGACGTACAAGATCAGCTGAGGAACGTGCAGCGGGTGCAAGCTTCTGTGAACGCTTTTGCTGCGATCCGGCATGATGGATCTGTCGTGGCCTGGGGCGCTGTTTTCCATGGCGGCTACAGCAGTGCCGTGCAAGAGCAGCTCAAGAACGTGCAGCACGTGCAAGCTTCTTCGCAGGCATTTGCTGCGATCCGGACTGATGGATCTGTGGTGACCTGGGGCAGTGTTGGCGGTGGCGGCGACAGCAGTGCCGTGCAACGGCAGCTCAAGAACGTGCTGCAGGTGCAAGCTTCTTCACAGGCATTTGCCGCGATCCGGGCTGATGGATCCGTGGTGACGTGGGGAAATGCTGGCCGTGGCGGCGACAGCAGTGCCGTGCAAGAGCAGCTCAAGAGCGTGCAGCACGTGCAAGCTTCTGGAGGTGCTTTTGCTGCTCTCCGGGCTGATGGATCTGTGGTGACGTGGGGCAATGCTGACTGTGGCGGCGACAGTCGTTTCGTACAAGATCAGCTGAGGAGGACAGAAGATCCTCCAGCCTGAAGGTGGAGCAATAGAAGTTTGTGATCGAAATGGAATCCCAACCCCACGCCACATTCGACAAACTACCCAGAGCCAGCCTTCAAAAGAGAAAAGGCAACAGTCCCCTTGCAGCCTGCGTGAAGGCTCGACCCTGTCCGGCTCTGATGGTTTATGTTGCCAGGATTTCAGGATGTCAGGGTTTAGGGTTTAGGGTTTAGGGTTTAGGGTTTAGGGTTGCAAGTTCAGAGTTTTTAGGGCCCGAAGCGGAGCAAAAGCTTCGCATAGTTGGCGGCGCGTTTTCCTTGGATACCCAGGAATACCCTTGTTCTCTTTATTACTACGACATGCACAAGAACCCCCAGACTATCAAACATATTCTTCCTTATAAGGGCAATATGGGGATCATTATCTTTTCTAAACAACTAGCAGATTACGGCCTCAACTTTGAAGGCTATGGAAAAGACCCAACCCTAAAACCTAAACCCTAATCCTTAACCCGAGGCAATGCACCCTAAGCTCTATAGGCACGACGTGGACTCACTTTCGGGGTTCAGATGTCAATGCCGGTGCTCGCAGACATGATTTCCTAAACCCACGAAGCCCGATTTAGGGTTTAGGGTTTTGGGTGTGGGGTTGTCAGCCCCGTGCTCTGAACCTTCAGTCCCCCAAGTATCCATGCTTTAGGGGCTGGGATGCATGCTGAGCATGTCGTTGGCTGCTGGGCGCTTTTCCTAAATGGTCCATAGCCCCTTCGGGTTTCGAAGTCCATACCTTCCCGGTTTCCCTACAGGAACCCGAAAAGGTTCATACTTGTAGGGCTTCTACGGCACCAGAAGGTTAGCGGTTCCTCATCCACGACCAAACGGGGGGGCCCAAAGGCTTTAAACCCTAAACCCTAAACCCTAAACCCTAAACCCGAAACCCGAAACCCGAAACCCTAAACCCTAAACCCTAAACCCTAAACCCTAAACCCGAAACCCAACCCTAAACCCTAAACCCTAAACCCCAGACCAGGCCAAAAGCTCCAAACTCTCGATTTTCTGGGAGACACGAAGACCTGGTGAGGTCTCCTCCTGGGCACCGTGGTTGTGTTGAGGGAGCCTGAGGCCGATGCGACGAGGGTTTGGGGTTTAGGGTTTAGGGTTTGGGGTTTGGGGTTTAGGGTTTAGGGTTTGGGGTTTTTAAGGAGCCTGCTTCTTCAATACCAGATTTTCCCGAACTCCCGAAGTACCCTACGTCCGACGAACCAGCAACTTGTTGGGAACTTTGAGTGCGGTTGGCTGTGGTGGTGTGGGAGGCTAAGAAGAGCAGGGTATTAAGGGACTTTTGGGCCGTAGAAGGTTTGTTTAGCACTTAGGGTTCGCTCGCAAGCCAGTAAAGCAACCAGGGTTTCAGGGCTCAGAGATTCGGCGCTTGCAGTGTGTTAAGGGTGAGGGTTGTAGGGTTTAGGGTTGTGGTTTAGGGTTTAGGGTTTAGGGTTTAGGGTTTAGGGTTTTAGGGTTTTAGGGTTTTAGGGTTTTAGGGTTTTAGGGTTTTAGGGTTTTAGGGTTTTAGGGTTTTAGGGTTTTAGGGTGTTAGGGTTTTAGGGTTGAGGGTTGAGGGTTTAGGGTTTAGGGTTTACACCTGCGTCCTTGGGTTTATCTCTGAGTGCCACAGGCGTGGCCTTGAAGAAAAAAGCCCACAACGCTCTTAAATAGCCCTCCCAACCTCGAATTTCCCGCAGCTTTTGAACACACCCTGAATCCCACCCCCCTCCTCCCACCCGGAGCTCTCCCTAAACCCTCATCCTGAAACCTTTAAGCCACAGAGGCTACCGAAAGAACCTCTTGTAAGGGACACTCTTCCCTGAGTCGCAAGGGCGATCCCAAGGCCCCCAAGGCCCCCATGGACTTTCACAGCTTTTGTGCCACCTCCCCAAACCCTAAACCCCTAAACTCTAAACCCTACACCCCAAACCCCAAACCCCAAACCCCAAACCCCAAACCCCAAACCCCCAACTTGTGGAGCAACAGGTCTGGACCGATGCCTGGCGAGCGCTGGTCGGTCGCTCCTTCACTTGTGGCGCTGCTGCGCACGTGGTGCCCGGGCGCCCGGGGCGGGGCTTAGGTGTAGGGCCAAGGGTTTAGGGGTTAGGGTTCAGGATTTAGGGTTCTAGCTTTCACTAGTCAAGCACGGATCTTAAACATCTGATAGAGAGGTTTAGGGTAGGGCTTTAGGGGTTGGGTGTTTTTTTCGTGTTTTGGGGTTCAGGGTTTGTTGGTTAGGGTTTTGGCGTTTAAAGTTTTAGGCTGGATAGGTGAGTCAAGCGAGATCGCATGCTCGAGTGTGAAGCCCATGCTGAGCTCAGTGCTGTCTTCGCAGTTGGCACTTATCAACCAAAAATAACTGTACTGACAACTGTACTTATAACCATATTAGGGCACTTAAGGGGCTTATAAGTACAGTTGTAAGTACAGTTATGGTTGGTTAATAGGTACCCTGAACCTCCAAGCACGGAGCTCAATTTTCGGCTCGGGTTCCCATGGCCCTCGGCCCTCCCCGGCCCCGCAAAAGCTGACCTCGCTCAGGCTCTTTGTCTTCACCATTGTCTTCATGCCGCTGACGGTGCAAGCCCCACACCACACTGAGATTGTGTCTAGTATCGACGAAGCCATGGTATGATTCGGGTTCTTACGGGCAAAAGAATCCATCCGAGGATCCCTAGATACAGTTGCTTTCGCTTTTTCACGGACAGCTGGGGTATGTGTCGCTCACCAGCTAGCAAACCTCTGTGGACACTTTCTTGCACAGGTGCCCGAAGCCCCCGCCGACCTGCTGGCACTCTTTCAGGCCACGGAGTAGTTTCGGAGTTTGGGGGGCGTTTGGGCTTTCGGAGCGGGGTTTATGAGAGGGTGGCCACGAGGATTTAGGGTGAGGCTGGGTTAGGGTGTCGCCTGCGCAGCCCAAAAACTGTTGCAAGTTCGTGGCTTGGGAGCAGGGCTTGACAGCTGTGACTGTCCAAGTGGTCATGTGTTTGGAGGCGGCGTTAGCAGATGGCCGCCTTTTCAAGCTTTCCTGGTGGAAAGACTCGTGCTCGCCTCACTTTCTGCAAACTGCATGCAGGTTTCGTGCATGCAGAGAGTGTGCTCGCGTGCACAAGAGCGGGAGCCGCCCAGGATTCCCTCGTCCTTGCCGTTGCTGCACATGGTGCGAGCTGCTGTGTGAGATCAGGTTCAGGGCGACCCATGAACCCACCATGCCTTCGTCTGAGCGCCGATGTGAGACAAGCCTCAACCCCTCCTTGCCTTGAGCCCACCTCCTCCGACAAACCCTTCGCCTCTATTGGTTCCTCCCTGGCTTCTCTCTCTTGCCCTTCTTCTGTTTATGTTCGCAGGCCATGGGTGGTCAGCTATCCGGCGAGGCGCATCTGTGGCACAATTGTTGTGTGATTGGCATCCGAAGTGCAGTTGTTGAGATTGTAGGTTGTTCCTGTTGAAAGGCACTTTACATCTGCCGCTTTCTGCTCAGCATTGCGATGCCCCTGCTTCTTTCTTCGATGCGGTTGTGGGCCGTGGCCTGAGCTGTAACTGGGCCATTGAAGGTGCCGTGCGCGAATCTGATAAAATCTGAGATAGGCTTGGTTTGGAGCTCCTGTGCCAAGCTGTACTAATGCTGCGGGAAGTGCATCCTGCTGGGTTGCAGCGATGCTAGTGACGGTAGGCAGTGAGCTGTACTGTCGCCAGACGCGCGTCTACTCTGTGTTCCTACTCTTACTCCTGATGCGCCTCGTCAGCAGTGCAGGTGTTGACTTGGCTTGCCAGGGTTCAGACGGAGTAGCAGCAGAGAATGAAAGAATGGTTTAGCTGCTACCAGCTTCCTTCCAGCCCTGGCATCGGCTTTCCGGAACCCTTTGAAAGAATGGGGGCGGCCAGGCCAAAAAGTCCGCAAGCCCACTTCTTCAGGGCTCTTGTGGACGGCCCTTCCCCTAAGATGCCGGCTTTCATCCTCCAAGGACTAAAATCAGAGCACAGGGAATCCGAGACCCTATGGCCCGACGTTTGACCCTAGACGGCCTAATTGCAAGGTAGCTTTCAGTTGAGGGGAGTTGACATGAGGATGAGGCTGATTGGCCCTTCTCTCGACTGACGCTGCAATGCTGCAAGGTACACAATGAACTCGCCGACCTGGAGGCCAAAACCTGTGCGGTGTGTCAGTCTGCCCACAGTTCCATACGGGGGCTTACGAGAATAAGCGACCTCCAACATAGACCCCCAAATAGGAGGAATTAGTAGGATCCCCATTTACTAAGGACTCCAAAAAGGTACCCCCTAATCTCGCAAACCCCAGCGGAGTGGTGGCGCCGTGAGGTATCCCCACTGTGGATTCCTTGCGCTGGCCTATCTCGTCCGCCCCCCAGTCTTTTGGGAGCCACATGGGCTTGCCTTTGGGACTGGCCCCTGGGCTGTTCCGGATATCTCCATGATTGGAGGTGGTTGCTATGTGGAAGCTGCCGAACGACCCGACCTCAGGAAGTCTCTGCAGAAGATCATAGGGATTAGGGTTTAGGTTTAGGGTTTAGGGTTTAGGGTTTAGGGTCTGGGGTTGAGGGTTGAGGGTGACTACAGTAGCTCGTGAGTCTGAGGCAGCTGCCGCTCCAAAGCAGAAGGTGCGGTGAGGCAACCAGAGGCTAACGAGCCTTCTTGCACAGCAGCAGAATCCACGCAAGCCCTCAGTACCGGCACTTGGAGGTTCATTGTACTTAGTAACCCAATTATGACTGTACTTACAACCCAAATATGGCCCTATTAGGGTACTTAAGGGGCTTATATGTGGGGTTCTGACTACACTTCTAATGGGTTACTAAGTACCCCGAACCTCCAAGTAGCAGCGCTTGGAGCTTATAGGGCTTTCGAAGCCTGACCCCCGCCATGTGGACAGAGAGGTGGAAAAACATCGTGCAGTGCGTGAAGAGCGCTTCTTGCAACTCGCACTACAACGGGCTTAGGGGTCCTGATCCCCCTATTCCCCAGGATCGTCCCCCGTAACCCTGACTTCTGGCTAGCCGAAAGCCCCTTGCAGCCCATATAAGTCCAGGCCTTCGAGATGGGGAGATGTTGGCAGTTTCAGGGCCTCCAGGTTTTCGGGATTCAGAGTGCAAGCCACGCACCAGGACAGTCAGCCCAGGACAACTCCTGCAACCGAGGCCAGTTCAGAGCTAGAATCCCAGGGCTTTTATACTTCTCCCACCATCGAGACCCCCCCCAAACCCTAAACCCGAAGCCTAAACCTAAACCCTAAACTTTAAACCCTAAACCCTGAACCCGAACTCCCCCCCAACAAAAAAGATAACACAACAATACAAGAAGGGCCCCCCTCGGGGGCATCTTTGCTTTGGCATGCTTTGGCCACTTGGACCTGTGCTGAGCAGCGTCGCTTGCACAACTACAAGTACAACAATGACAAATTACATCTGCAAAATACAATTGCAAGTTACGGGTACAAATGACAATTACAAGTTACCATTACAAGTTACAAGTACAAATTACTATTGCAGGTTGCAGCTGCAATCCATATAGTAAGTTATGGTCCCGTTTGGGTACCCTCAATGTGAGGGGCCGCATGATCATAGCAATCCCCACAAGGACATTTGTTTCAGAAGCGACCATATGAATATGAATATCAAGCTTCATGCAAGTTGCCGCCCCTGGCAAGAACTTTCATGTCAGGGCGTCGGTTGGTAGTTTCGGAGACCCCGAACTTCTGAACTGACTATGCCAGCATGGCCCCCAAACAGCGCAAGACCACTTCAGGAGTCTCTCAGCACTACAAGAGCGCGCCAAGACCACTACAAGGACCGCAAAGCGACGGCAGTTCTGCGCTTGACACATAGCGGGCGCGAGGGACCGAGGCGGGAATGCCTTTCTTCCGGGGACGGACGCAGCGAACAAATCCAACCGCCAGCAGCCAGAGACACAGGGAAGTGCGACGGTGGGAACGATGCGAAAATTTAACCTGACCCCTATAAGCCCCAAGCCCCAAACTTCTTGAGCTCACAACCCGGCTCACAGCTCCCGGTGTGAGGCCCTCCGGAACTGGGCTCTTCGGCGTGTGCGAGAGGCGGCGCCGGGGAGCTGTGAGGCGGGGCCAACAATGGGGGTTTCCGCGAGTAGGGGTTATTGGGGTCCTACTATTTGGGGGGTTTATTTTTGGGGGTGTTTTGTGATCATAAACCCCCGAATCGCTTAGGGCTCGGGAGCTTTAGGGTTCTTGTTGAGCTTTGCAGGTGATGTTTTTGGGGGTGCTTTTTGGGGGTTGCTTTAGACCCCTATGGGCTTGCGGCACACGATAAGCCTCTGAGATTCAGGATTTCGAGGGTTTCGGGTTTAGAGTTCGAGCACATCGCCCAGAAGCCGTCATTCTCGATAAACCCTAAACCCTAAACCCTAAACCCTAAACCCTAAACCCTAAACCCTGAACAACCAGCTTCCTTGTGCTCAGGGAGCCTTCCAGTTGCTCCAGGCTTGGCATGGGACTCCAGCTTGTTAGACGCAAAGTATGTTAGCGCAATAAGTTTTTTTTTTTTTTTTTTTTTTTTTTTTCTGTCTTTCAAGGTTTTTTTTAGGGGTTTAGGGTTTAGGGGCTTTAGGGCTTAGGGGTTGTAGGGTTTAGGGGTTTGAGGGTCTAGGGGCTTTGGGGTTTAGGGGTTTTTAGGGCATTTAGGGTTTTACGGTTTTAGGGCTTTTAGGGCTTTTGGGTTTTAGGGTTAATGGACGGAGGCCATGCTGTGAATCTTCGTACTTCTTGGCAGCAAGCCAAGAATCAATACAGGCTTGGCTTTGTCGTTGACGCTCTGACGTGGGCAGGTTGCTGCAAAGACAGTCCGACCCACAACTCTTACTCCCGAAGAGCCGAAAATCCAAACCACCTAAAGCGCTGAGGCCCTAAACCCCAGACCGTTGAAACCCGAAGCCCCAAGACACGAGCCTGTGTGGCTTCTCTCCTGCCAACAGGACCACTACTGCCACAAGGTGCCGCAGGAATGGTTTAGGGTTTAGGGTTTAGGGTTTCGGGTTTAGGGTTTAGGGGAATGTTGAGCACACCCCAGTGTTTTTGCCTGATGGTGGGTAGACTTACACTTATAGGGTCCTCAAGGGAGGGGGTTTCAAGGGGGTATGTAACGTAGCCCAAATTTCCCTTACGCGCCCCACTACTCCCTACACCTACCGCCTCTTAAGGACCCTACGTTGGGATGTTCCCCTTATACTAACAGTCCTTAATAGGTATATAATAGTAGGGGGTACTATCATCCTAGTACAAGGGGGAACATCTCAAACCCCATAAGACACAGCAAAGCACAAGGAACAGAAGGCATCGCCAGGCCCGGCCCTTGAGACCCTGGACCTCCAAACCTGCCAGTTTAGGGTTTAGGGTTTAGGATTTAGGATTTAGGGTTTTGGGTTTCGGGGTTAGGGTTTAGGGCTTTAGGGTTTAGGGTTAGGGCTTCAGGGTTTAGGGTTCTAGGTCCTCAAACCCGCCCGAAACATCATCCAATGCCGAAGACCCAAACCCTGACACCGAAGGAAATGCTTCACTGAAGCCTTGAAGCTCTAAACGCGCAAAGCCTTGGACTTCTAAGCCTCTGCCAACCATCCGACTTCCTCGATGCCAGGGACAGTATCGTGTCGCCTTGGCCAGTCTGGCTGCCCGGCTCTCTTCAAGCTGGGAGGCCGGGAGGTCAGGTCTTCAGATTCTCAGGCCTCAGGGCTTGACATGTTCTTTCCCCCCCCCCCCATTGAGAAGAACGCCCAAAGGGTCGGTCGTCTTCCTGAGCCACTGACTTGGCTCTGAACGTCAGTCCAGCGGACCCCCGTGCTTCTTACAGTCCTACAGCAACGCCTTGGTCTTATTGTCATGATCGCATACATGCAAAGCAATGTGGTGGAAGCTCTTAACAACTGGGGGTTCTGGCGACTTGAAGGGCCCCTAAAACCTAAACCCTAAACCCTAAATCCTAAACCCTAAGCCCTAAACCCTAAACCCTAAACCCTAAACCCTAAACTCTAAACAACTTGATCTCGGGCCGAGGATGCTTTGGGATTCTCTGGAATTCTTCGGCATGCCTGAGGCTTTAGGAGGCTTTAGGGGGCTTTAGGGGGCTTTAGGGGGCTTTAGGGGGCTTTAGGGGGCTTTCGGGCTTTAGGGCTTTGAGGTTTGAGGTTTTATTTGGGGCCTTTAGGGGCTTTAGGATTCGATAGGGCCTTTCTGTCCGCCAGAGTCTTTCCGTTCAAGATCCCGGCCTGAACCGTGCACTGCCCCGCAGAACCGTCCTCAGCCGACCTTCCCCGTAAACCCCCAAACCCTGAAGCCCTAAACTCCATAAGCCCTACAAGGCCCTTAAACCCTGAAACTCATAAACCTTTCAACCCCGAGCTCCGCAAACCTCTAAAACCCTTGCCTGAAACCCTAAACCCTGAACCCTGAACCCTGAACCCTGAACCCTGAACCCTGAACCCTGAACCCTAAACCCTAAACCCTAAACCCTAAACCCTCAGGTCTTTAAACCCGAAAACCTACAGCCCCCAACTTGGCGCCATGGGTGCGGCGGCCTCGGAGCCCGGATCCCGCGCGGCCGGGCACCACGTGGTGCTTGCGGCCGCCGGGGCTGCAGCAGTTTCGGGTCTAGGGTTTAGGGGTTTGGGGTTTAGGGGTTTGGGGTTTAGGGTTTGGGGTTTAGGGTTTGGGGTTTAGAGTTTGGGGTTTAGGAAGTCTGACACGGAGGCCTAATTTGGACTACCAAAGTAGCGCTCACGCGCCCCGCGTCGTGCTCGGAAAGAAGTGCCAGCGTCTTTAGAACATGGGAAGCCCGAGATTGGAACAACTGGGCTTGGTGTTGCGGGGCTGTGATGACCCCGGAAGCCTTTATCCAAGGGTGTGAACCCGAAGTCTCAGTTGACCTCAGAACCCAAATGCCACCGGAGGATTAGCAAGGCTCTCAGGCCCTTGACCGACCACAGCGGCAACAAGGCATCCATAAAAGAGCTCGCAAGGGGTGGTAAGGATCTTGCAGGAATCTTGAAGGTTTGGGGGTCCTTCCCAGTCGCACCTAGCGGCCTAGCGCATGTAGCGCACGTCCACGTCAGGCACTTTCAACCCCAATGACTGCCTGAGGTATCCTCGTTTCTTGGAGCGCCTGATGGCTGCTGGATGAAGGACCGTCTTTGATGAGGTCACTCCGCAGATGACTCCACAGATGTCATAGATGGCGAATAGAGGGCACAAAGTTTCCAAACGTGGGCAAAAGTCTGACTATGGGTGATGTGTCTGGGGCGGCCGGCCCTGTGTTGGCCCAGATCGGCAGAGACGAGACGAGTGGCATGACGTCTATCATCACGTTACCTGCCAGGATGCATACCACACCTCCGTTGTGGTGGACAACGTGGAGTGCACCGGGTCTTGCTGCAATGCGGTGTTGTTGGTGCTGCGGATATTGTAGGTTTTTGATCTGCCCGGCCTTGACATGCCCAGCTCGTAGTGGTTGCTTCGCAATGTCTCCCTTCCAGGTACACTTTTTCGCCACGCGGCATTGTCAGGCATCTCCTGAAGGGACAGCTTGATGCTACAGGCCGAATATGCTGTGTCAACGGCGCGTAGGCATGATCCGTTGGTATGCTGTGGTCAGGCAGCGATGGCGTTTCGTACTTCCGGGGTATGTCAACGATCTCAGGACTGGAACGCCGGCAAGAGAACGTTGCAGTTGTAGAAGATTCGGTGCGTGCCGATCTATATCATCAAAACAGAAGCTGCAGGACCCGAAATGGCAGGCATCTTATGGCCCTTCTTCAAGGAGGGCAGCTACGATGTCCTGAAGAAGAACTGCAACACGTTCAGCGTCCTGACTGACAGTTTTGGCAAGAGATTTTCGACGAGGAAGCTTACATCCAATCGTATACTGTACATGTGGCAGGTAAGAGATAGGGGGCTTGTGCATGCATGCCGGTCTGGCGGCATTCTTGGTGGCAGAGGCGACTGTGCGCTCTTCTGCCTGTTGGGGGAGCGTTTGCCGATCAAGTACCGCACGCTTGAGAAAGTCACGTGACTGCACAGAAGTTGGCACACCGCAGTTGCATGCCAGTCTATCTGACTGGCACCCTCCTGGTGTTCTCTATCCACCGTCAGTAAACCGCTGCCGCCTCCCCAAAGCCCTTAACCGCCTTAACTTGTAGTTGAACCTAATCCCTGACCCTCGAGCTGAGGTTGCTGGGGTCTTGGATGATGTCACTGGGGTCGTGCAGGCCCTGAGCATGTGCAACTACAGGCCCAATCCCAAGGCAGGACAGAAGTGGCGGGTTTTTGGGGCTTGGGGGGGGGGTTTTGCGGCTTCGGGCTTTCGGGCTCAATGGGTGTTTCGAAGGCAAGTTCAGGGCTTACGGTAAGGTACAGGTCGACCCAGCGGTGCCACAAACTGGGCAGCATGCAGATTGCTCGCGTTGTCAACCCGAAAAACCAAAGCCTAAACCCTTTTCCATGATGCTTTCTGTATGTGGAAGCCTTTCTCAGGCCCAGGAGTTCGAGATCGTGCCGGTGCTGAAGCACATCGAGTTTCAGACAAGGCCCCCGGGTAGGGAGCTTCAGGGCTTTTCTAAGCGCCCGACCGTGCGCTCCTTGGGCGCGCCAAAGGCTTTAGGCTTTAGGCTTTAGGCTTTAGGCTTTAGGCTTTAGGCTTTAGGCTTTAGGCTTTAGGTTTAGGCTTTAGGCTTTAGGCTTTAGGCTTGAGGCCTTAGGCTTTAGGCTTTCGGGTTTAGGGTTTAGGGTTTAGGGTTTAGGGTTTAGGATTAGGGTTTAGGGTTTAGGGTTTAGGGTTTAGGATTTAGGGTTTAGGGTTTAGGGTTTAGGGTTTAGGGTTTAGGGTTTAGAGTTTAGGGTTTAGGGATCTCTTGTGCAATTGAAAGAGGCAGTCAGGCCCAGAGCCTCGCACCCTAGCTCATACCAAGAGCCTTGCGACTCAGTGACCAGAATCCTCCATAGCTGGTCTTGTTGCCCGGGCTTGCAACATGTACCCTGAGCCCTGAGGCCTAAATCGGGGTACCCCCCTAAACCCTAAACCCTAAACCCCAAACCCCAAACCCCAAACCCTAAACCCTAAACCCTAAACCCTAAACCCCAACCCCAAGCCCCAAACCCTAAACCCTAAACCCCAAACCCTAAAGCCTAAACCCTAAACCCCAAACCCCAATCCCCCAAGCCCCAAACCCTAAACCCTAAACCCTAAACCCCAAACCCTAAACCCTAAACCCTAAACCCCAAACCCCCCAACCCCCCAAGCCCCAAACCCTAAACCCTAAACCCCAAACCCTAAACCCTAAACCCTAAACCCTAAACCCTAAACCCTAAACCCTAAACCCCAAACCCTGATTTTAGGCCGGGCAGCCGGTCTGGGCCTCTTCACCGCGCGCCGCCGGAGAGGCCCAGGCCAGTCCCTTGCTTTGGCTGAAGGTACCAAGCGCTTTGGGGCATTGTAGGGTTTGGGGTTTAGGGTTTAGGGTTTAGGGTTTGGGGTTTAGGGTTTAGGGTTTGGGGTTTAGGGTTTAGGGTTTAGGGGTAACTTAGTAGCTGAATGAGTACACTTTACACCTTTTGGGATGCTATAGCCCCCGATAGAACTGAAAGTGTACACTTTTTGGGGGCTTATAAACACAGTAGCTAAGTGAGGGTACCACGGGCTCTTTAGGGCATTGTAGGGCTTGGGGTTTGGGGTTCAGGGTTTAGGGTTTGGGGGTTTCGGCTCTAGGGGTTTTCGGGTTTTCGGGTTTAGGGTTTAGGGTTTAGTTAGGGTTCAGGGTTTGTGGTTTCGGGTTCAGTTAGGGTTTGAGGGTTTGGCCTCATGAACTAGGAGCACAGGCTTTTCGGAGTCCCTTTTGTGCGGGTGTGTTCTATAAGGGACCCAAACGGGGCCCTAGCTAGAAAACTACGCAAATGGCTTGCTTAAAAGGGTTCCAACACAAGATGCCTGAAAGGGGACCTTGATTTAAAGCAAAACTCAAATTGTGGTTTGGGGTTTGGGGCTTAGGGTTTAGGGGTTTGGTTTACAACAACGCGCGAGAACACAAGAGACGGGTGTTAAACACTTGGGCCAGGTTCCGGTAGCCTGAAGGCCCCAAGTCAATTGAGAAGCTGATGACTCTCAAAGACAAACCCGTGTGGTACTTGCGTCTTCAAGTCTCTGAATGCCCAGCTGACGAAGGCCCATCGTTCAGTCGGTGCCAGCCTACAGATTGCAGCTCTGATCTGGAGTCCCTCCATCGACAGTAAGCTTGCCCGAAGGCAGCCTGGGCACTTTAGCTGGAGATCTGCCTTGGCTTGCTGTCCCGGGTTCATTTCTTGAGGCCTGTAGCCTGCAAGCGCCTGTTTTGGAGTTTTCCCCGTGCTCTGGGAAGCCTGCCCCAGAACGCTGCAAAGTGCGCTTTGATCGGACACACCACACAACATTTCCATTGTTGATGGAATCGGCTTCCCCAGTTTGGACTTTGGTTTTAAGTCTGTGTGCGTGCATTTCTTGCATCGAGCATGGGGTGTCACGATGTACCATTTGAAACGTGGCGCGAAAGCCACTGCTGTAAACCCTAAACCCTAAACCCCAAACCCCAAACCCCAAACCCCAACACCCCAACCCCTAAACCCCTAAGCAACCCCTAAACCCCTACACCCCTCAACCCTTAAACCCCTAAACCCCTAAACACCTAAACCCCTAAACCCCTAAACCCCTCAACCCCTCAACCCCTCAACCCCTAAACCCCTAAACCCTAACCCCTAAACCCGAAACCCTAAACCCTAAACCCTAAACCCCTGAATCTGAAGCTGTTGCGGACTTGGTGCGTCACCTTGCCACCAGAGCAGGCCGGAGCTGGCCCCTGTGTTTCGCTATCCCCACCCTTTGCATCTTCAGACTCCGTGTTCAGTTTAGGGTTTAGGGTTTAGGGTTTAGGGTTTAGGGTTTAGGGTTTAGGGTTTAGGGTTTAGGGTTTAGGGTTTAGGGTTTAGGGTTTAGGGTTTAGGGTTTAGGGTTAGGGTTTAGGGAGGGTTTAGGGTTTAACCCTGCTAGACTTAAGAAGCACCTTCTGTGTCATTTATTTCTAGGGCCTGCAGTCTGCCTGCAAAAGCGGAGTAGGGTTCCGGGTTGTTAGGGCCCCTTCTAGGTGCTTTGTGTCGCTCACAGAACACCTTTATACACGGGCGCTCAAGAGGCACAACCCCTCCCTAAACCCTAAACCCTAAACCCTAAACACTAAACCCTAAACCCTAAACCCTAGACCCTAAACCTTAAACCCTAAACCCAAAACCCTAAGCCCTAAACCCTCGCGTGTCACAAGCACCAGCTTGGCCCGCTTCGGTGTTGAGCCTTCCAAGTCGGGCACAGCCAGCGCTCCCGCGGTCTACTTGTCCCTTGCCGGGTTCTTTTTGGCGATCTTTCGAAGTGCCGCAAGTTTTGTACATATGAGCCATGGGCCGTAGGCCGAATTGGCGTAGGAAGTCTGTCTCACGGTGGCCCCGACGAAGTCCGGAGTAAGCGCGGACTTTGTGTCGCAGTGGCCTGTGGACAAAGAGCTTCAGCTGACACCCCGCACCCCAGATGCTCAAGCCCGGCAGTTCCAGGAGTGTTCTCGGGTTTGGCCCCCTACTGCTGGCAGGCAGAAGCCTGGCAATCCTCCCAGACCTTTGGCCCTGATGTGGTGACGCAGGCTGAGAGCAAGCTTGGGGTCCAGAATCTGGTTGGGCTTCTGAGTTTCGGGGCTTCAGGTTTAGGATCTGGGGATTTGGGGTTTAGGGTTTAGGGTTTACCCCCCCTCCTCTCCCCAAAACTCGCAAGCCATCTATATATCTATCCATATGTACATATGTATACATATATATATAGATATATAGCTATATCTAAATCTAAATCTGCATCTACATATAAAAAATATCCTTAAGCCCGAACGCCCCGGCGATGACTTGCTTGGCGTTTGCGCTCGTTTGGAGGTTCCTCTCCAGCGCCCGCGCCTTGGGTTGTGGGCCGCTGCGGGTCTCCTCGTTCACGCTTCGGGCGCAGGTTTTCTTCAGTGTCTGGGGTCTGGGGTCTTTGTCTGGGGTTTGGGGGTCTGGGGTTCTGGGGTCTGGAGTCTGGGGCTCAAATTTTGGGATTTGGGGTTCGGGGTTGGGCTTCTGCCTGAGAATCCGGCACATCCAAGTGAATCTGGAGCTCGCAATCCCGTCGCGATGATGGTGGTGACGGGACCCTATACCCCCCCAAAATGCCACTGAAACCCTAACCCCTCTGCTCCAAAACCCCCTATAAACTCCAACTCGTTGAGGCTGGGACCACTCGGAGAGGTACGACCCGAGCGAGGGCTGCTGGCAGTTTGGCCGCACATCCTGCAGGACCGTCCCGACTGGTGTGCACAGACCCTCAAGTCCCAAGCATTGAGAAAACGACCGGGTTTCCAAAACTGGGGGTCCCTTTAAGGGGATCCTATTCTATTTTGGCTATAAAACTCTACCCCTATTTTGGGAAATACCCGAATCGGCATCCTGCAGGCACGCCGCGTTCATCGACGGCGTGGAGCTGTTTGACTTCCAGCGCTTCCGCCTGACGCGGAATGAGGCAAGCACTGAAGCATTGCTGTTCCGCCATGCCTTGATTTGTGGTTTAGGGTTGAGGGTTTCGGGCTGCTCAGTTGCTCGGAGTAGTGAAGTGAAGTGCAGGCGCAAGTAGGGAACCTGGTCGATTCGATATAAACGCTGACCTGGAGCCAAGCGCCCTACTTGGAGGTTCATGGTACTTAGTAACCAATTATAGCCGTACTTACAACTGCACTTAAAACCATATTATGGCACTTAAGATAACCGATCGTAGCTGTACTTATAACTGTACTCATATATAACCATATTATGGCACTTAAGGGGCTTATAAGTGGGTTTATGTGTACAGTTATAATGGGTTAATAAGTACCCCTAACCCCTGAACCCTAAACAACCCCTAAACCCTAAACCCTAAACCCTAAACCCTAAACCCTAAACCCCAAACCCCAAACCCCAAACCCTAAACCCCAAAAACCTCCAAGTAGGTCCAGCACATGGAGCCTCGCCAGCGCCACGTGGCCGCCTCAGGCTCCAATGCCGGGGGAAAATTTGGCTCTGTCCCTGGACCCCTGTTGGGTAAATATAGTTGGGTAAATCTACTTGGGTAATATAGTTGGGTAATAATGCAGTTGGGTAATAATACAGTTGGGTAGTATAGTTGGGTAAGATAGTTGGGTAATAATACAGTTGGGTAATATAGTTGGGTAAGATAGTTGGGTAATATAGTTGGGCAATGTAGTTGGGTAACATAGTTGGTAATATAGTTGGGTAGTATAGCGGGGCCTTAAGAATTAAGAATAGGGTTTTGGGGGGGTATTATAGTATACTTATATTCTACAATAGGGGTACCCTTCTATACCCCAAATGGAATCCCCCTTGGAGGGACCCCTCAAAAGGGTACCCCTATTTTCGGGAACCCGCAGTCCTTTCCATAAAGCTTAGTAGGGTGCTGGCTCAGGAGTTTCTCATCCGTTCATGTTGTGTCTCCCTTTGTCTGCCCTCATGTTGCAAGCATCTCTTTTAAAATCGCGCGTTTTTGGTCTACACTGTTGGGACTTTCGTTGTCAGCATTGTTTATGGTCCCCGAAGGCAGATCTTCTCAACTGCTCTAAGAACACCTTTACCAGTTACAACTTCTTCGGGTCCCGTGTATGTGCACCCAACGAAAGCCTGAAAACGCCATGAGGCCCTGGAGACGGGATACGAGGCCATCTACCACGCAGGCTTCAGGCGCCTCCGCCCAATGAGGGACAGTCTTCGGTAAAGGGTTTAGGGTTTGGGGTTTAGGGTTTAGGGTTTAGGGCCTGTTCCGTGAAGAGGAACTCCATAACTGTCTTCCTGTTTCTGCGCTCCAGATTCTGAGTTGCCCTGCTAGCCTTCTTGCCTACCTCCATACAATGGTAACGTCCCAACATAGTTACAGAAGCTGAGAAACCAGGGCTACTCCGACCTTCCGTCGTCACTCAGTTAGAGACACTTCAAGGGTCAAGCAGCTCCAACGACTGTCGTCTGAGCTGCGAGCTGAACAGGTACAGAAACTTGCCCGACATTGCCTGATGTCCAAATCTTCCCATGTTGCTTGTTGGGGTTGTATGTAGCAAAGACGATGGAGGTACTGAACGACGGCAGAATGATGCAGAAGAGGGCATTAACTTCACTAATGGCCGACCTGCAGCAGCATCGTCGTTTGCCAGGTCTCCATGCTCAGCCCAGAAACCTAAGTCTGAGATTCCTTGGGTCCGAGACCCCTGCGTGCGCAGGAAGTGAACTGCTTGACCATTAACCCCCACCAACCCCAACACCCTACACCCTACACCCTACACCCTACACCCTACACCCTACACCCTAAACCCTAAACCCTAAACCCTAAACCCTAAACCCTAAACCCTAAACCCTAAACCCTAAACCCTAAACCCTAAACCCTAAACCCTAAACTTAAACCCTAAGCCCTCAGCCCTAAGCCCTAAAATCCAAAGCCTAAACCCTTTCTTGTCCTCTCCAATCCTAAAACCTTTCTTGCCCTCTCCTTCAGAGCCCTGGGGTCATCCCCCCTCTTGCCGGACATTCCAACATCGAAGCCCCTCCGAGTCTGCAAACCCCACAGCCATACCATGAAAAGGGTTTAGGGTTTAGGGTTTAGGGTTTAGAGTTAAACTCAAGCCTGCAAAAGCGGCGGGGATGGGTTTGGAGTTTAGTGTTTAGGCTTCGAGGTTGTGTCCAAGATTTCCTTTGCCCAGAACCAGCGAGAAGTTAAAGATACATTGCACGACCTTGGACCACGGCACAGGATCTCTTCCAAAATAGATGAACATTCGACAGGAAGTGGCAACAAAGACACGCCCTAACCCCTAAATCCGTAAACCCACCTCCCCTAAGCCCTAACATCCTAAACCTCACACCCATAAAAACGGCAAACTTAAAGCCCCTAAAGCCCAAAGCCCCTAAAGCCCCTAAAGAAAACCTAGACCCAAAACCCCAAACCCCAAACGCTAAACCCTGAACCCTTAACCCTCAACCCTTAACCCCAAACCGTAAACCCCAAACCCTGAAAACTAAACCCTGAAGCCTGAACCCTCAACCTGAAACCCCAACTCCTAAACCCTAAACCCTAAAACCCAAACCCCAAACCCTGAACTCCTAAACCCCAGCAAGCCCCGACAACAGGCGA